TTTATTTTTAAACAAGTGATTAGCAAAAAATGCATTAAAATCTTAAAATAGCAATTAAATATACAAAAATATAGCTTACAAAAAACTGCGAATGTTTAAAAATATTCTGCTGCAGAATTCTTAGTGTACAAACACGTCTATGAAACCTGAGGCTCAGCATTTCATAAACCTTTTTTTGAGGCGTTACACAATATCTAATGAATAAGCCCCAAAGGGCTAAACTGCATGTTTCTCCCCCCTCCCCCTTCAGCCATGACCAAGAGGTCCAGAGGCCCAGTTACCAGGGGTACTTTTGGAAGACCAGACTGTTGGCAGAGGGACTTATTAATATAACACTGGCTACCCTGCCCCTTCAGTACTTGCAGGGCCTGGGAGGGAGGGAAGTGGAGGGAGGGATAGAGTTCGCAGCAGGCCTGAAACACAGGCCTGTGATGGTGGTAAGGGACAGGGAGTTTCATTGGAGCCAGGCCCCTTGACGCTTGGGCCCATGTTGTGGGCTACATGTCTGAAGTAGCAAGCCTGTCCTTGCTGGCTTATAGCCATAGGAGCAAGGATCTAGGTTGTTAGCCAAGAGTGCTGATGCTTAGTCTGAAAGTGGAATAAAATAATTTGTATCTTACAATTTGGGTTCTAAAATTGAGTATGAGAAAAAGGTTTTTTGGACAGACCTTTGCTTTTCTCTGTGCTGTCACTTGTGGAACCATGTTCCATGTCACATGGCATCCTTTGTTGATTTTACTAAAAAGCCATGACTTGGTATTTTCCAGCTCTCTCTTGTGAATGTGAGAATTTATACCATATTTGACTTTACATCTATTTAGGAAATTCTAGGGAAAGACACCAATCCAGGTCAGGGATTCTCTAAGTATCTTGAAGGAGGGGCTCACAGAATTCTGCAGGTTTGGAGGTTCTCTTAGGTGGCAAGTGAGGGCCGAGGCACTGGCTGGCTGTGGGGGAGAGGGAGGCGTGGGCCTGTGCCTCTCTCAGGACTGCCTGGAGAAGCAGCTTTAGCATTCATTTCTTTAGAGGGCAAAAGTGAAATTGTAAAAAGTTACTAGTGCATTGTGTTTTTTGTTACTTGGAAAGAAAGAGCCAGGGGAAAATTCATTTGCTTCTGAAAGTGTTCATAAGTATGAGGAGAGAACTTGTGGATACTTTGGCAGAGCTTCACTGTTCAGTCTGGAGATGGGGCAATTGAGCCATAGGACAAGCTTTCAGCTGCTGGGCACAAATTACCTCAAAAGCCACTGGTGCCTGCCTAGGAGCCTGGAGCAGCTGTAGCTACTCCCACTGGACACTGGTCCCATGGAGCAGTTTCTCTGGGTACCCCCAGGAGTTGGTCTTGTTACAGAGCCTGCTAGGAGGGGCATGTTGCACATCAGGACTGGTGGTGGTCTTGGATCAGCTGGGCATTTGGGGATAAGGAAGAGATTACTGTGTTTGAGTGTATAGGGAAGTAGAATTCCGATACATTGCCATCAAGGTATGCTTTAGTCAAAGGGAATGTAATTGTTAAAATGTCCCATAATTCTGGGCTCATCTTTTATAGGTATTTAACAACTACCTGAATGGCTCTTGCCACACAAATGGGAATATTCATCAAATATACCTGGCTGCTTTATGTGGGTAAAATGGAGAAAGATTACATAAACATACAGACGTGTGTATGTGTGAATATACATAAATAATCCCTGGAAATTTAAACAAGAAACAGTGGGTACTCCTTTAGTGAGGAGTGTAAGGAAGACTGAATTTTTTTGTGATTTGTGAGCCTTGTGCAGGGATTACCTATTTAAAATTCAAAGGATGATGAACACTGAGCAGCCAAGTTAGTGCACTGTGGGCCAAGAGAAACAGGAGAAGATGCAGGTTTATTCAAGCCCCAGAAAAGCCCTCAAGCTCTGAGGCTCTCAATTCTCTGACCTGAATCACCCAGAAAATATAACACAGACGGTGTTTGCAGCCCCTAGGCCTGGTGCTTACAGGCCCCTGACTGGACCATTGTCCCAAGAGGTGATAAGGACACTGTTACTGTAATCCCCAAGTGGTGGATAAGAAAAGATTCTCTTATATTTCAGTGAAAACTTGTGCCAGGTAAAAATTACTGTCACTCTCATCCTAGTGATGACCTGTTTTCAGTCTACTCTTCGTTTTGCTTTACTGAGTTTTCTTATTAGTTTCACATACAAAAAAGGGCTCTGAAGAGCTGGGCTGCCTAAAGCACAAGGAGTGCGCTAATCCACCTGCTCAGTGCACTTCTGCCTAGAGCTCAGGCTCTGCACATTCACTGTAGTCATTCAAATTTAGAGTGGAACCACGCCATGCAGATGGCATGTTTTGGAATGGGGCTATAAAAAAGATACACATTTGTCAACCAATACTTGGCAGTGGTGGGGGCTCCTCTGTATTTTTTTTTTTTTTTTAATCAGTTATGGGGCTTGAACTCGGCCTGAGCACTGTCCCTCAGCTCTTCAGCTCAAGGCTAGCGCTCTACCACTTGAGCACAGCGCCACTTCCGGTTTTCTGAGTGGTTTATTGGGGCAAAGAGTCTCACGGCCTTTCCTGCCTGGGCTGACTTTAAACCATGATCCTCCAATCTCAGCCTCCTGAGTAGCTAGGATTACAGGTGCTAGCCACCGACACCCAGCTTCCTCTGTATTTCTTAATCTGAACCTTCCTCAGAGACCACCTGTCCCCACTGGGTCAATTTTTTGTCCTGTTCCCTGGCTGGGTGAGCATACCTGTGAGGGCATTAGTTGTGAGGCCTAACCAAATCTGCTTTCTCTTCACAGAAAGCCAGCAGCTTTTGCTTTATGCTAATCCAACCAGGAATCATCATTTGGGTTCATTCTGTTTCTACAGCAAACTGAATTTAGTTGTCTTCCTTGGCACCTATAACCACAGAGTCCAGCTGTACTGAGTTATGCTCCATTAATTCATAGCACACAGTGGCAACCAGTCTTTGAGCTGCTTAAGACACACAAGTTCACCAACCAGTCATCCAAGAGCTGACCAGAATCTCCATGCTAGGTACACACTGACAATAGATCAGCAGCTCATGGAGATGGATACAAAAAGGGTAGCCTCCCTGGATAGGGCCTGAGCCAAGAATGTGTAAAGGGATCTCTTAACTCATCCAGTAATGCAGATGCACAGGGAAGCTCTGGTGGGGAACCCAGAGGTCAGGAGCAAACATGTTTGGGTCCTGTGGCTGAGTTGCCAGAATTACCCAGCGTGGTGCTGGGCCTGCTATAGCAGGAGACCCCCTCTTAACCCCTAGTCTGGAGAAGACAGCCGAAAGAATACTCTTCTAGCACTTGTAATACCTTTTAAGAAGCCCTTTGATTCACAAGGGTTGAAAACACGTCATTGGCTCCTTGTCTGGGCATGGCAGGCCCAGAACAGAGTGCAGAAAATTCCTCTGCTTTCCTCCACTGGTCCTGACTATCCAGGGTAGATGCCGTCCATTTCAACTATCTGGAACTTTGACTCTGCCAGATGATTTTGTCTTTAAACAAGTACAGGGTGTTGCTGGGGCTATCTTAATATTGAGCACAGGGACAGAAAAGGGCTACAGGTGAAAGGTCAGGATCTCCAAAAGCTGGGAGTGGCAATAATTTGCAGTATAGATCATATAGAATTCCTCCTTTGAAGGGGGGAAAAAACTTTCCTAGGGAAGTCCTATAACAAAAGGGGTCATGCCATGGGAAATGGTAGATGTTCCATTAATGCTATGAGGACAGAAGCAAGCCCGTGTCTGACGTTGATCACCAAAACACTTCACTGTAAACTGGGTGTTGCAGCATTCAGCTCTATCATGCTACATACAGAACACAGAAGGGAGGGAAGTACGCGCATTTACGAGTGTTTAGAGTCCCAGTGGGGGCCAGACAGGCTAAGATGTATATATGAAATCATTCACACTTCTCTTGGTCTTTGTAGGAAGTAGTTCAGTTGGCATGTCACAGATAGGCATGTCACAGGAAACAGCCAGTTCTGACCAAGTGGATTTGTAATTTTCCAAACTGGATTCTGCTCTTTTCTTTGAGACAGGATCTCACTATGTAGCCCAGGCTGGCCTCAAATTTGTGATCCTCCTGCCTCAGCCTCCCGAATGTTGGGATTACAGGCATGTACCACCATGCTGGCTTCCCCAGAACTTTTCTAGGCAAGTGGAAACTTTTCCTCATCTGACCTCAGATATCCAAGACAAGGGCAAGTTCTCTCTTGTTCTAAGATGGTAGAGTCTGAGTTCTAGAAAAGATTCCTGGAGACATCTTATGAACAAAGCAGCAAAGACCCGCTTCCATCCTGTCTCCATGCCATACAGAGGGTGCTTCTCTACTCACACTTGCGGATGGAGCTGGAGTGGAGCAAAGTGGTTGATGAGGTGTGGCAGCACTCTTGTGACAAGGGATGGGGAGAGCAGGCCAGGAGAAGAATGTTCTGTCTCACCCACTGCTGCTTCACATGGCTAATTCACACAGTGTTCACAGATTCTAATGGACTTGAGTATTTCTAGAAAAGTTGGACAGAAAGAACCAAAGAGCAGCATGCACTTCTCTCCTATAAAGACACTTGGTTAGTTATCTTACGTCCAGGTACCGAGGCACACACAATAGCTCCCTGCAGGAGCTTCCTGAAACTATTTACAACTAGCGGATTACCAGCTTCAGGTTTCAAGAGTACATAGGGGTCTTAGCTGGGATAAACTGTTTAAAAGTTAATGATAGGCCTTCCCTCCCCCTCCCCCCAAGTGGAAAGGGCAAGAGAGGAAAGAACAGGAAGAAAGGCAAAGGGGTCCGTATCCTTTTCATCTAGGACTGAGAAGAGAGGAAGAAAGGGAGGCAAAAGGGTCAGCATCCTCTTCAGCCAGCCAGGCCAGGGGGGGCCCAGCCTGTCTCAGAAAGATGCACCTCTTTGGGGCCAGCTGAGGGAGGAGTGCATAGCAGCTCCTCTCCCCACACCCCGCTGAGTAGGCTGAGTCCAGCAGCCAGTGTGGGCTCAGGACAAGCCCCTACTGGGGCTCCTAATAGGTTTAACTGGTGTTTTAAAAGGAGGGGGAAATGATAAAAGAGGAAATGGCTCCTGACCAAGCCTTTCCAAGTGCATTGAATGTTTCAGCTTAGATGACTTGATAGTACGAGTTGTAAACTGGAGGTGGGGAGTAGTGTGGGGACACTGCTGCTGTTGTACCCAGAGCCCTTGGGGTCCTAGATGGCCTTACAACATGAAAAGTCTTGTGGGCACTGTCTCACGAACTACTGTTCAGCCGACGGAACTGCTGGTCTCACTTGGCTCAGGGCCATCAGGAGGGTTTGTGGCTACAAAGGCATGGAGACCTGCATGGCTGCTTAGCCATCCACAGGGGTTGGGCTGCAAAGACCTGCCTGCAACCCCTGGCCCCAACACCTGTATTTATCTTCCCTTCTGTTTGATAATGATTTGCCTTGAAATGGAGGTAAGTGTCTGGGAGTTAAAAGAGTGTAATGGAGTTAGCCAGAGATGCTCATGGAAGTTTCTGGAACCAAACCTGTAGGCTCATCCACTTGTCTTGGCGTGGGGTTGTCAGTGCTTTGGTTGTCACAAGACCCAGATGCCAAAATTCCCAGCTTGGCTGGCCCACAAGTTCACGAGGCAAAGGAAGTGGCAGCTGGTGCCTGAGGCAGAGAGCAGCGAGGATGGAGCCTGCTCCTGTTCTTCCTGGCTCCATGGATGTATCCAACCATCTCATCCTTGCAGTGAGCTATACAATGTTCTCTGCCCCAGGGAGGGGCCCCTGGGGGGGCCCACGGTCCTGCTTATTGTGCAACTGGGCCAGCTGCAGAACTGGCATGTTGCACAGGGGGCACACTTTCCGAACCTCCAGCCACTTAATAAGGCACCTGTGAAAATGAGATGCCCAGGAGGCAGATGTCAATTCCAGGCACGTGGCAGCCCATGCCCTGATCTCCCAGTTGCCACAGACAGTGAACTGCTCTGTCACCAGGGCTACAGTGGGAGGAGTCTGGTACGAGGCCCAGGGAGGCCCACCAGAGGTGGAGAATGCATATGAGCCTGGGGGGGAAGCCCGTGCTCCTGTCTTCTACATGGTGACACTAAGATACCAGCCCACAACTTTCCAAAGAGGAACTGAGCACACTGAGAAGCGGAGTGGGGTGGGGGTGGGGGTGGGCAATAGTAGGAAGAACAAAAATTACCAATATAATCCACAAAGTTGCAAGAGAAGGAGGATACTAATATGCCTTCAGGAAGGGAGTGAGGCACCCCATACTACCATTTATATTCTGACTTTATTTTGATTTAAAATAACTATGGTTTTGATTAAAGTGCATTTTAGGAGACGGAAGCTGACATTGGAAAGTTCCATCTAAAGAACTGTTTACAGCATGGCTCCAAAGAGGTGTGGGTTTGGCTGGCTCTGTGCCTGAGTGTGTGGTATCACGTTCTACTTTCCTGGTCTGCTCTCCTAAGGTCACGTCCAGCCCCTCACTCCCCCCCCCTTACCCCATGGGATGCTATCAGCTTTCGGCATCACAGGCCAATTGTGAAGTTGTCAAGCTTGTTGGGCACTGCCTCAAAGCCCACAGTAAGTTGGCTGATGTGATTCAAAGTTGGATCATACTGAATAATTCTTCACCAAGCCAAGTGTGGTTCATGCCTATAACCCCAGCACTTGGGAGGCTGAGGCAGAAGATTCAAGAGTTCAAGGCTAGTAGTGCTCAGGGTGTGGCTCAAGTGGTAGAGAACTTGCTTAGCAAGAACAAGACCTCTAATTCAAGTCCTAGTATCATCACTCACTTCACCCCTCCTAAAAAAAGTTTACATAGACCTCTCAAAAACTGCCCTCCCTTAAAATATCCCACACTAATACTCACTTTCTGTGGAAGGCATGCTTACATGGACAGATCCCCAACTCATCTCGAGGCTTGAAGTCTTCCAGACACACCGCACAGAGCTGAAAGGCGAGTTAGAAATGAAAACACACATCTGGTAGGTATATGCCCAGGTCAGAAACTGGACAGGCTCTTGAGAGGCCTGACTATCTGAAGAATTTACAATGTTCTAAAACTTAAGTGAAAGGAAGGAGCTGGTCAGAACAAGGACTCTGAAGAAAAAGACTCATGTTCTTTCTAGTGAGCATTTTGAAGGGGGTGGGCAGAAGGAAAGGGAAAACAAGCAGAACTTTTTCTACAAAGAGTATGCCAGATCACTCACAAGACTTTCTCCCAGCCAGGGGCTGGTAGCTCATGCCTGTAATCCTAGCTACTCAGGAAGCTGAGATCTCAAGATCACAGTTCAAATCCAGCCCAGGAAGGAAAGTCCATGACACTCTTCTCGCCAATTAAACACCAGAAAACCAGAAGGGGTGCTGTGCTTGAAGTGGTAGAGTTCTAGCCTTGAGCGAAAGAGCTCAGGGACAATGCCCAGGCCCCAAGTTCAAGCCCCACAACTGACAATAAAAAATAAATACAAGACTTTCCCTGGCACATGTACATGAACTCACTTCCTCTAGGATGCTCTGTAGACCCAGTCCAGTCTCTGGCTCCTAGCATTCACTGCAGGGCTGGCTTACACCTGCTCAGTCCTCTGTTATGACTGTCTTGTAGTAACATGCTATTAATAGTTCCTGGGCCTCCAACTCTGACTCTGTCTTTCTGTCAGTATCTGTCTTGGTCATATTAAAAGTTCACTCAATTAAAATAAAAATAAAAAGTAAAAACAAATACAAATTCTGGCTGGGCATTGGTGGCGCATACCTGTAATTCTAACTACTCAGGAAGCTGAGATTTGAGCACTGCAGTCAGGCCTCAAAGTCAGCCAAAGCAGCAGAGGCCATGAGACTCTTATATCCAATTAATCACCAAAAAACCCCTACAACTCTAGAAGTGGAGCTGTGACTTAAAGTGATAAGAGAGCTAGCCTGGAGCCAAAAAGTTAAGGGATAGTGCCTAGGCCCTGATTTCAAGCTCCTGTACAGGCACAAAAACCAACCAACCAAGCAACCAACCCCCTGCACAAACCCAAAACAAATTCTGGACATTTATAGTGAGAGGAAACACAAAAATAATGTTAAAAAGACTTACAGACTATCTATCTTAAAGCATAGAGGAGATACATGCCTAGGTTTACTTAGAGTAACATCAGTGAGCTGAGCCCCCTGCACCACCCTGTGGCTTCAGAGCTGGACCTTTCCTAGGGTTCCAGTCTTTTTTTTTTTTTTGGTCTGGTCGTGGGGCCTGAACTCTGGGCCTGGGTGCTGTCCCTCAGCTCTTCAACTCAAGGCTAGCACTCTACCACTTGAGCCACAGTGCCACTTCCGGCTTTTTTTTTCTGCTTATGTGGTACTGAAGAATCGAACCCAGGGCCTCATGCATGCAAGGCAAGCGCTCTACCACTGAGCCAACTTCCCAGCCTGGGTTCCAGTCTTTACTTGTGTCCTTCCTGGTTCCATGTCTGCCTTACTGTCCAACCCCCACCCATGAAATAATCACTGCCTTTTGTGTGCCACTGATGAGAGGGGAACTTTGAGAATAGTTTCACAGATGCAATTAGTTCAAATTCAACTGGAGCAGGAAAATGAATTTATTTCTGTGTTCTTGTCATATAGCGTATTAGCAGACAGGATCCCTACTGCTATGAAACCCTACATGGGCATCAGCTCTACCGAAAACAAGGTATGTTGCTGTTGTCAGCTGCTTTTTATGTGCTCTTACTGACAAAGAGTCTATGAAGCTGAGCAAAATAAGGCTATCTTCAACTTCTGAAAGTAAAGGCATTTACACATACCACAGAAGAGCATTTTCAATTAGAAAATGACCCCAGAAAAGATGAAAATACTTGGCACAAACTTACCTCATGTAAATTCAGTTCTTTTACTTTCTCTTTTAGTATAACCTGTAAGATAAACAGAATGCTCTTAATCTGGGCGCTAGTGTTTCAGGCCTGTAATCCTAGGAGGCTGAGATCTGAAGATCCTCTTTTGAAGCCAGCCCTGACCAAAAAAAAAAAACTATGAGAGACCCCATTTCCAATTAATCAGCAAAATGCAGAACTGAAGGTATGGCTCAAGTGGAAGACACAAGCCATGCGCAAAAAACTAAAAAGCATCATGTTTCACAAGGCCCCAAGTTCAAGCCTAGTACTAGCGCATGTGTACACACAAACACACACACACACACACACACTGCTCATGCCATGTTAAAGCTGCAACTTTAAAATTCCCTTTTAAATCTGAAACATTTCTCACTCTCCTCACAAATATGTATAGTTTTCTTCATGCTCAATACAACGTGAGGCAGTATACTTTAAACAACACTTATCTTTTATTTGTAAAAGCAGATATTCTGCAAAAACGTTTAAAATCTGAGAATAGATTAAATCTTGGGAGAATATTAACACACGCCCCTCTAGAGTAAATGATAAGATTAGTGGAGATTGACTGCCATATGACTTGTAAGTCCTTACTGGGTGATGATACTGATTAGTAACTTATGAAAGTCAGTCTTAATTTTGGAAGTCTTATACATCAATGTCCTCAGTAAACTTTAACTCTTCGCTCAGTTATGTTCATGGGCTAAAAATTCATTCAAGTTTGTCTATGTTTGCCTGAATCTGTGGTGACCAGGTTAAGAGTTAAAATGTACAAAGTTCTAAGAAAGCAGAATTCTATTAACTTTTCTTTTGAGAATAAACTTGAGTTATGTTTTATCTTAAAGTTGAAAAAAAATAGGCAAATAAACATGAGAATTATAAATCTTATATGTCTTACACTTGAGTCAAAACTGGTTTTGATTCAACAGGCAAGTCAGAGAAATACCAAGTGGAAGCTACCATGCAGCTCCATAGGGGTGTACAAAAGTTCTTGTGCATAAAGCTCAAGTTTACAGTCTGTTTTAACCTGCTCAGTTCTATCAGCTTCACCAAATGAAGCTGAGCACCAAGGCCAATTTTACTTCCTGTCAGCCTACATGAAAGCAGCTTGGGGGCTGTCAAGACTATGGTAGAACTACGATAAAAAGACTCATTCACTTAGGACACTTGAATGTCCAGCACTAAAAGTCTCCATGAAAGGTTTGGGGCAGAGTGTGGGATACTCAAGGAAGCCAGTGTGTCATCTAGACAATATGCCAAAAATGCATGGCCAAAAGATAAACAGAAACAAATACAACCATAAAATGATGAAATGGTCCTGTGATATCTGTATCAACAAAGTGAAAGATGAAATAAGCTAAAGCTGCTTCCCTTTCTATCTAGGGGACCAAGTAGGGGTGGGGGAAGCTAAGGACAACAAAAATGTCCTTATCAGGGTAAAACGAAAATTAGAGAAAATCAAGGTCTGCTGTTTCCCGTCAGGGATAAAATGTCAATGGATGACACATAGAAGGAAAAACTACATTCAAGAAAAACTACTAAGCTGGGAGCCAGTAGCTCACACCTGAAATCCTAGCTACTCAGGAGGCTGAGATCTGAGGATCATGGTTCAAAGCCAGCCCGGGCAGGAAAGTCCGTGAAACTCTTATCTCCAATAAACCAGAAAACGGGAAGTGGCGCTGTGGCTCAAGTGGTAGAGTGCTCCCCTTGAGCTGAAGAGCTGAGGACAGTGCTCAGGCCCAGAGTTCAAACCCCAGGACTGACAAAAAAAGAAAAACTACTTTCAAGAAAACTGATAATTAAAGATGAGGGGAGTGGCAGCGGGTGATGATTGCACATGTATGATGCAGGATAGCAGACTTGTGTGTGTGACTTAAGCAAATGTGTAGTACAAAGGATGAAACATATGAAAGGCAGATGAGATTACTGCACCACAGCTGGCCACCTCCAGAGAACAGTTATGACTTTAATGGAGGAGGAAAAAATTCACTTAGCAGTCTCTGAACTCTGGTATTAGATGGCAGCTGCATGGGTTACAAACTACAGCAATACTTTTGGTTCAAGTTCCCTTGCTGTTTATATTTATTGTATCACTTTTTGTAGCTCTAGATAATACTAATAAAAGAAAGGAAAATGTGAGAGAATGAAGCTGGTATATTTTGTACGTCAAAACTGACAGGTGGAATGTTAAAATGAACACAAGTAAATATAGTTCCAGTTTAACTTGAGTGGAAATCTCAGTCCTCAAAGTTTTTTTGGGGAGGGGGACATATAATCAGAATCAATCAGAATTAAATTTCTCACCTGTTTGTAGGCATAAAATTCTTTGTGTGCTTGATGTCTTAGCCTAAAAGACAAAGGAACAATGTTGATACTGAGATTTCCCAAACGACATCTCTCTTACCTCGCTGTGAAAAAGTACCAGTGAACTGTGAATGTTATCCAATGGAAGAGAAATCTCATGAAAAGAAAGTCTTAAAGCAAGAAATATGTTAACAAAACTGGGTACTTGTAGTTACACCTGTAATCAACTACTCAGGGGGTGGTAGAGGTTTGAAGCCAGCATGGGTAGAAAAGTTCTCAAAACGACATCTCTGAAAGCACAGGGCTGAATGCCTGGCTTGAGTGGTAGAGTGCCAGCCAAGCAACTAAGCCAAGCAAGCTGGATGCCCTGAATTCAAACCCAGCTACTGTAAAACACACACACACACACACACACACACACAAATATCCCTTAAGTATACAGATAAAATATGTTTAAAATGTGTATTCTAGTGTAATTATCACTGGTAGCAAAACATAGTACATTTCCAACACCCCTGAAGCCTGTGAATTGACCCCTCATTCAATATCTGTCCCCTAGAGGTATCCCTATGTGGACTCCTAGCACTGTAGAATGATTTTTTTTGTTAGTTGTGGGGCTTGAACTCAGGGCCTGGGCACTGTCCCTGAGCTCTTTTTGTTCAAGGCTAGTGTTCTACCATTTTGAGCCACAGTGCAGTGACACTTCCTGTTTGTTTTTTAATTGAGACTTAAGCGTTTACCTAAATTTCACAGTATTATGGGATTGTGATACTTAGTTAAAGTCACAAATACATTTTAATCTTCACAAGGCAAATTGTCATTATCATGGTCTATAAAGTTTGTGAATTCTGTAAGTTTTGACAATACAACTATTTCTTCCAAACTGGGTGATATGTACATTTCTTTTTGCTTAGTGTAAGCTGTTTGCTCTTTTCATCTCATTCATGTTTTTGAGTAGTTAATTAGAGATGAGTTTCTTAGAGACTTTTCTGCCTGGGCTGGCTTCAAACAACAATCCTCAGATCTCAGCCTCCTGAGCAGGTAGGCTTATAAGCATGAGCCACTGGTGCCTGGCACTGTAGAATAATTCTAAATTGTAAATAAGTAATTTCTGGACATCACACAAATGGGTCATTGTCTGTATATTGGGTTTGTCTTCTTTCAGACTATAATCCTTCTTGAGATTCATCCATGTTGCAGCAGTTTAGCCTTTTTGACTGACATAGTATTTCATTTGGTGAATATAATACAATTTATCCATTCTACTGTTGAATAAAGCTGCTACAGCAACTCTACATGTTTTTTTGTTGTTGGACACACAGATTCATTTCTGTTGAGGAGGTAACTGGTCCAAATTGTTTATACCAATTTCTACTTCTTGAATATTCTAGTTTTACATCTTTGCCACTGCTTGGTAGACCCAGTTAAAAAACAACAAAACTCTTTAAATGTAGTTCAATTTATCAACTTTCTTCAGTTAGGTTAGTTTTGCGTGCAGAAAGAAATCTCTGCCTAGCCCAAGATTATGAAGATATTTTCTGTGAGTATGTTGTGAAAGCAACATGTTATTTTATGTATCACATACCCATGTGGGGTTCATCTGAATGCTGAGTGGTGCCCCATCCAGATCTTCACGTCTTACCACCATCTTCACCTTTCTCCATCATATTGCAAATAAATTAGGTGTTCGAAGTGTGTGGCCTAGGCTATTTTGTTCCATTGCTTTATTTGCCAGTCCTTGCATACTGGTTAGAATAGTGTTTCAAAAAGAAATGCATAAGCCAACTAGAACCCTGAAATGTAACTTGTTTGAAAATAAGGTAATTTAACATTATCAATGAGTGAAAATGAAGTCATACTGGATAGGCTAGATTCTAAATCCAAGGTGACTGGTATCCTCAGGTGAAGAGAGTAAGATATAGGACGGAGAGATATATGATGAAATAGTCAGACAATGAATGAGCAGCTGTGAGCCAAGTGATACCAAGGATCACTGGTAATCACCTGAAGCTAGAAGAGGTGAAGAAGGCTCTTCTAGACCCTTCAGAAGGATCAACACTTTGATCCTGACCTTCCTGCTTCCATAACTTGAGAGATGAAATTCCTGCTGTTTTAAGTCACCTAGTTTGGGGTACTTATTATTACAGCCCTGATAAACTAATAGACCTATATTGATACTATGCTATTTAAAAAAAACCCTACTTTTACTGGGACATGGCTTAACTGATAGAGTGCTTACCTAGCAAGGGGAGGCCCTTTTCAGTCCTGCAAAACAAAACATCCTCCCCAAAACCTTATTTTGAAATACTTTCATGCTTACAGAAAAATCATGAAAAGTAGTGGAGTTCACATATACTTTTCTGTTCTGTGTTGAGACAGGGTTTTGCTATATAGCCTAGGCTGGCCTTAAGTTTCCTATATAAAGCTTGTAATCGGGGCTGGGAAGGTAGCTCAGTGGTAGAGCGCTTGCCTTGCATGCATGAGGCCCTGGGTTCGATTCCTCAGCACCAAATTAGCAAAAAGAAAAAAGCTGGAAGTGGTGCTGTGGCTCAAGTGGTAGAGCGCTAGCCTTGAGCTGAAGAGCTGAGGGACAGCGCCCAGGCCCAGAGTTCAGGCCCCACGACTGGATCCAAAAAAAAAAAAAAAAGCTTGTAATCCTAGCTATTGTGGATGAGATCCCAAAGACTGAGATTCAAAGCCAGCCTATCCAGAAAAGTCCATGAAACTCCATTTCCAAAACAACCAGCAAAAGCCAGGCTGGAGACATGGCTCAAATAGTAGAGCACCAGCTGTGAGCAACCAAGTACAGCAAGATTGCAAGGCCCTGAGTTTAAGCCATAGTACTGACACAAAAGTAAAAAAAAGAATGTGAGTCAGGCTTAGTGGTACATGCCTGTAATCCCAGCACTTAGGAGGGTGAGGCAGGAGAACCATGAGTTTGAATTCAGTATTTTTTGAAATCCTGACTCAAAAAAAGGCAAAATGAAACAAACTATGAATAGGCAATAAGCTTTGTCAAAGCATTTCGTTTCTACTATTTTTGTTGTTGTTGGTAGCGGGGCTTGAATGCTAGACCTGGGTGCTGTCCAAGCTCTTCAGCTCAATGTGTGCGCTCTTGAGCCACAGCTCCACTTCCAGTTTTCTGGTGGTTAACTAGAGATAAGAGTCTCGGGCTGGGAAGGTAGCTCAGCAGTAGAGTTGCATGCCTTGCAAGCATGAGGCCCTGGGTTTGATTCCTCAGCACCACATAAACAGAAAAAAAGCCGGAAGTGGCGCTGTGGCTCCAGTGGTAGAGCGCTAGCCTTGAGCTGAAGAGCTGAGGGACAGCACCCAGGCCCAGAGTTCAGGCCCCATGACCGGACCCAAAAAAAAAAAAAAAGTCTCATGGACTTTCCTGCATGGGCTGGCTTTGAACCATGATCCTCAGATCTCAGCTTCCTGAGTAGCTAGGATTATAGGCATAAGCCACCGGTGCCCAGCACAATTCCTTTCTACTATTAAGGTGGTATGTAATGTTGATTTTTTAAAAAAAATTTAGAAATTTACTCTCATTATATGATTCCACACACTTTCATTCATTGTGAGGACATCGATTGTCTTTCTAATATGGAAACTACTCACTCATTCTATTACTCAGCAAACATTAACTGAGTGACTATGTGCTGCTATGTACTGTTCTGAGTGTTTGGGATACAGCAAATAAAACAAGTATGTCTGGGATGAGACATGAATAACAAACATACAGTAGAATGTTGCATGATGTCTGATGAAGTGTAAGGTAGGACATCCCTCTTTGTGTTGTAGTAGTGCCCTGTTCATAGCTCTAGCAGACCTGAGGATTCTGTGGATGGGGATTCATGCTGTGCATGACTGTGGCTGGTGGTGGGGGTCTTGTTTAGACGTCAGTTGTATTCCTCCTATGGTTCTGAATCTGCCTATGATCAGAGGGAACTCTTTGGATAAGACTTTCATGGAAATCTTCCCCCAAACTGGAGGAAACTGGTGGCTCATGCTGGCAATCTTAGGTACTCAGGAAGTTTAGATCTGGAGGACTGACGTTTGAGGCCTGGGCAGAAAAATTTGCTAGACTCCATCTCCAAAATAACCAGAAAAAAGCCAAACTGGAGGCTTGGTTCAAGTGGAGTTGTGCTAGCTGAGCACAAGCAAGCTGAGCAAGTGAGAAGCCTTGTGTTCAAATCCTGGTATTGGCAAAATAATCTAGTAAGTCTCCGAAAATGAAAGATATTTTGATGCTATGAGCTGCTGTTTGGGCTGTGTTTATTTTTTTAATTAAAAAAACTGATATTGAACATGTATAAGCTGCTGAATTTTATATAGTGTTCATCAAGCTATTGTTATAGATTTTTATGTTTTTTTTATTGTAAAAATACTGTACAGAGGGGTTACAGTTACATGAGTAAGGCAATGAGTACATTTCCTATCGAGCATTGTTACCTCCTCCTTTGTTTTTCCCCTACCCTCCCTTCTTTCCTCACCTCCCCAACTCCTCCCTCTGGCCACAAGTTGTAAAGTTTGTTTTCAACATAGTGTCTTGTACATGTTATAGATATTTTTGAAAAAGGAGTATTTCTAGAAATAAGCACATTTTTCACGAAGTTTTTTCTGAAGAGTAGAATTTTATTCATCTCAAACCTGTAACTACTGCTCTGAGCAAGATCTAAAAATACACATGCAGCTAACATCTATCTATCTATCTATCTATCTATCTATCTATCTATCTATCTATCTATCTATCTATCTATCTATCTATCTATCTATCTCTAGTTATAAGATATACTTACCTTTTATGAGAAGTTTCAGAAAAGACTCTATGAAGAAGGTAAAATCACTTGTCAGAGTATCAGAAATTATATACTAACTTCATTCAGATCTGACCACTAGTCAGTAAGAATGTCCCAGATACTAACAGTAATAACAAACCATTGTAAAAAAGATACCAGATGGTAGTGTTTATCTTAACCACAATCATGGCCTAGGCACATGGCTCAAGTGGGAGAGCCTTTGCCTAACAAGCACAAGCCCTGAGACGTCAATCAATGCCCAATAGCAAAACAAAACAAAACCATTCAAGATTTAACCATAACCGCATATTTTATGAACACTAAGAACTGTTAGATATATAGGTGTTAATAATTTAGCTTTCTACTCCAAAAACCTCATTGAAGGAACTTTTTTTGAGCTTTGACAATTGGGCCCTATTTAAAAACTTTAAATGTTTAGATATAATTATGTCAGTGGTCAAATCTAACCACTGCAAGTGAGGTTACCTTTGTCACTTGCCTCTGCATGTACTGCCGGGGAGTGGCTAGCCAGACAACAATGGGAGTTGAAGAGTTTGAAAGACCACAAGAAGTTTTTTTTTAAAGCCACAGATTCTGTCTTAGACATGGCATTTTTTTTTTCTTTTTTCTTTTCTTTTTCCAGGGCTGAGGACCAAACCCAGGGCCTTGTGCGCGCCAGGCGGGCGCCTTTCCGCTGGACTAAACCCCCATCCCCAGACATGGTATTTTTGATTCCTAATGACTTCAGAAAACAATGAAGCAATCAATGCTCTCTTAGAGAGCAACTTTGAAATATCTGTGAAAACAGATTAAATGCTGCAAACTGTGACAGTGTATCTGGACAAGGTGCAAATATGGTGGGAATATTAAGGGAGACAATTTTGTCCTATAGAGTACAATATCTCCTTATCAGACAGCATTGAAGACTGCATGAAATAATTGCTGAATTACTAGCTCACACAAGAAGAAAGCTGTAAAGCACATTAATGTAGAGGATTTGCCAATTATCACACCTAAAAAGTTTTCTTAATCTTGTTTAGCATATTTAGCACATTAACATAATACAAATTGATTACCTAATCAAGTAGCAACAGAAGAGTAAACTAAGGATGAAGACAAATATAGCAGTGCCAAAAACCACAATGTATATGTTGAGAGGCAGATTCTGGAACCCGATATTAGGCATCCTGAAGTTGTAATGTGGGAAATCTGAGCTCATGGATGAACTGTAGGGGAAGAAAAGAGAAAATAATTATATATAAACAGTAGGAACCTAAATAGCATTATCTATGCATAGAAACAAAAGTTTTCAAATGGTGAGCCCATTTGAAACAATAAGTTGGTTAAGTACTCAATCACCAATCAAAATTTACTGAGTTCTTTTTCTATACCTGGCACTACTACAAATGCCAGTAACTAATGAAGATGAAAACCCTCAATCTCACAAGAAAAAAAGTCAAGATTTTTCAAACTCTAATTTATTTCCTTCCTTACTTCCTTCCTTTCTCTACTCCCTCCCTCTTTTCCTTCCTTCCTTCCTTTCTTTAACAGTACTGGGAATTGAACTCAGGGCCTCCCACTTGCTAGGCAAAGCACTCTACCAGTTAAGCCATACATCCAGTCCATTTGTTTTTCATTTGCTTTTCAGAGAGGGTCTCCCACTTTAGCCCAGGCCAGCCTTGGACCACAGCCTTCCTCTACCTCCTGAGTAGTTGGTATTATAAGCCCGCACCACATGTCAATCTTGTTTTTGAGACAGAGTCTAGCCTTGAACAGTGAGCCTCCTATCTCCAAAGTAACTGGGCTTACAGGCATGCACAATAACACCCAGCTTCATACTTTTTAACTTTGAATAACACAAGCCTCAAAGCAGCAATATTTATAATTTCAAGATGCCAGGCACCAGTAGTTCACATCTCTAATTGTAGTTATTCAGGAGGCTAGGATCTGAGGCTCCCAGTTTGAAGCCAGCCTGGACAGGAAAGACTCTTGTCACCACTTAACCACAAAACCCCAAAAAAGCCAGAAGTGAAGCTTAAATGGTAGAGGGCAAGCCGAGAGTGGAAAAAGCTAAGGAACAGTACCCAAGCCCTGAGTTCAAGACCCACTACCAGAACCCCCACCCAAAACAACCCCCCCAAAAAAACACCCCCTAAAACATATGTTGCCAGGTACTGGTAGTTCAAGCCTGCCTGTAATCCTTGCTACTCAGGAGTCTGAGATCTGAGAATCCAGCCTGGTGAGGACAGTTTGTGAGACTTTTAACTCCAATTAACCACCAAAAGCCAAAAGTGAAGCTGTGGCTCAAGCAAAAAGTTGTGCCTAGAGCAAAAAAACAGAATGCCTGGGCCCTGCATTCAAGCCCCAGTACTGGACGAACACACACACAAAATATAGGGGCAATAATCCCAGCTATATGGGAAGTATAAATAGGAGGATCCTGGTCCAGCCCAGTCTAGGCATAAATGTGAGACCCTATGGGAAAAAATGACAAAGTGAAAAGGGCTGAGGGTGTGTGGCTTAAGTGGTCGAAGAGCCTGCCTAGAAAGCATAAGGGCCTGAGTTCAAACTCTAGTTCTGCCAAAACAAACAAAGCAAAACAGTGGCTTGTGATTTATTAATCATTTGATTTTTCCTCTTCTTTTTAAAACCTCTTTTAAGTTAGGCTCTGTCTTAAGAATTTTACTGGCATTATTTTATTTAGTCCTCACATCCAACTTCTGTTTTCTAGATAAGGAAACTGTAGCTGACAGAGTTTTAGTCCCACAACCACGGCATTCAAGGTCTGGGAGCCACAACCTCTCCAATGCCAAAGCTCTGCTGCTCCCAGCCTGTAGGAGCTAAGAGCAAATGTTATTTTGCATTAAATGAGGGACTATTTCCACCAATTTGCTTGTAATCCTTATTGGTCAGTATGGGGTAAAATTCCAGGAATGGAGGCTGTGTTCTCTTTTAGGTGATGGGCTATAGTGATAAAGTAACCCAGTAACCTTCCCAATAGAACTTCACTTGGCATTTTGATTTTGTATGAAATCCAAGGGCTGCTGTCAGTACTGTTTATTGAGACCAAAGACTGATAATGCAATTAAACTATAACTATAACCAAAATCAAAAAAAAAAAAAAAACCTTGAAATTGAAAACCTATGTCCTCATCAGAGGCATCCATCAATATGGGACCATTAGGCATGAGGTCACTACAGGCCTGTGACAACACTGGCCTGTAGTGTCCTTGCATTGGGTGATGCCACCAAGGTACTCTTGCAGAATTCAAGGCAGACTGTCAGACATGCAGAACTGTTTTTTTTTGTTTTTTTTTGGTTGGTTGTAGGGCTTGAACTCTGGACCTGGGCGCTATCTCTAAGCCCTTCAGCTCAAGGCTAGCACTTTACCACTTAAGCCACAGCACCATTTCTGTTTTTTTCTGGTGGTTTATTGGAGATAAGAGTCTCACAAACTTTCCTGCCTGGGATGCCTTTGAACCTTAATCCTCAGATCTCAGCCTCCTGAGTAGCTAGGATTACAGGCGTGAGCCACTGACACCTGGCTCATTTTCAGACCATTTGAGGGGTGTTGTCTCAAAGGGAAGTGCTCCTAGGGGCTGGATGTGCAGAGCCCTTCTTTCACGAGTTATCATCACCTGGCAGAGGGTATGCTGATGCAGAATATAGCCTAGGAATTTTTCTTATTTCTTTGGTAATCAAATGATGTAGCCATAATTAATATGCTGGTCCAACAGTCTCAGGAGATGGTGGGTTATTCAAAGATACTAATTCTGATCTAGAAATACCTTTGCTTTTATACAATTTCACCATATTTTTTCCAGTATGAAAACAAATTGTGGGAGGGGGAAAAAGTGGGGGAAAATGGAGGAGGGGGTAACACTTTAAAATGAAAGGTGTTCATTACCTGACTTATGTAATTGTAACCCTTCTGTACATCACCTTTTCAATAAAATTTAAATTAAAATTGTTTTCCTAACTTTAATTTTTACTTTTAATTGTTTCTAACTATGTATCCCAGGCTTGCCTTGGTCTCCTGAGTTCTGGGATTATAGGCATGCACTACCAACACCTAGCTAATATATGATATTCTTTTTTTCTTTTGCCAGTCCTGGGGCTTGAACTCAGGGCCTGGGCACTGTCCCTGAGCTTCTTTTGCTCAAGGTTAGCACTCTACCATGTGAGCCACAGCTTTTTCTTTTTATGTGGAATGGAACCCAGGGCTTCATGCATGCTAGGCAAGCTGTTTACCACTAAGCCACATTCCCAGCCCCTATATAATATATTCTTAAAAAAATAGAACTATATATTCATCAGCCCAGTAATAATTTTTTGTTATTAGAGGTGGGTCAAGATGGTGGATTAGAAGTCTGTCATTTTTGTTCTATGAATGAGAAGCATTTGGTGTCACAGAAAAGATTAGATTCTAAAGAGAAGAAAGGAACCAGAATCTACAAAGGAGGTGGCAGGGAAGCAGAAAAATATGGAGGAACTATCTTGGCAGAAGATATGCAGTGTGAAGTTTAAGCCAGGCCCTGGCTCCCTGATTGGGGAAGGGAAAGCCAAGACTGCAATATAAGGTAAAACAGATGATTCTGCCAAGAGACTACTAACTGTAAGCCTTAACTTTAAGGCTCTGTGGGATTTGTGGGAGGTCAGTCTTGGTGAAGAAAGGTATTGTTTGTCTCCACTAATCTTGTGTGAGAGAGTCAGTTGCCATCTTGAGAATAAGTCTGTTTTCAGGACTGAATTACCTGAGGACCTGTGAGTAAGGTGCAATCATGGCTCAATGACTCACTCACAGGACACTCTGCCATCGAATTTGCATATAAGTTAGTCATAAGAGGTGGCTAGGGAGGGGGAAAGTGTGAAGACACGGACAGCTTAGATACCAGAGGCTTGGGAAGTCTGGCAACTGGGTGACAAAGGCTTGAGATTTCCTTCTTGGTCACAGCAGAGACACTGGTCAGGTTGGCCACTGTTCACCGAAGGAAGACTGTAGTAGTATCTCAGAACACTCAAGAGAGGTTGCTATTAGGGGCAGCTGGGACACACGGAGACACATGCACGCGCGTGCGCACGCGCGCACACACACACACACACACACACACACACACACACACACACACACACTTCAAGACCTACTTCATTTTATTTAGTCTTTATTGCTGTTTTGATTTGGCTGTTATGATGTTTTAAAATCTGTTCAATTATATGGATTTTTTTTCTTTTTATCTGATCTAGGACAAAAACTTTTTAGATTTTACTTTCTAGTTATAGTCCATTTACCCCTTCCATTTACTTTTTTTTTTGGCCGTGGGGTTTGAACTCAGGGCTTGGGCACTGTCCCTGAGTTCTTGAGCTCAAGGCGAGCACTCTACCGCTTAAATCACAGTACCACTTCCGGTTTTCTAGTGCTTTATTGGAGATAAGAGTCTCACAGACTTTCCTGCCCCGTGATCCTCAGATCTCAGCCTCCTGAGTAGCTAGGATTACAGGCGTGAGCCACTGGCACCTGGCCTCCATTTACTTTTTTAGTTCTGCTTCTCCCTTCCTTTTCTTCAATTTTTTTTTTTTTTTTGGTCATGGGGCTTGAACTTTGGGCCTGGGCACTGTCCCTCAGCTCTTCAACTTAAGGGGAGTGTTCTACCACTTGAGCCACAGCGCCACTTCTGGTTTTCAGGTGGTTTATTAGAGAAAAGAGTCTCACGGACTTTCCTACCTAGGATGGCTTTGAACTGCATTCCTCAGATCTCAGCCTCCTGAGTAGCTAGGATTACACGTGTGAGCCAATGGTGCCCAGCTTTTTTTTTAAAGTGTGTATCCATTGAATTTTCATTTTGTCTTCCTCTCCCTATCCCAACACAGTAACTAGATTTTTTTCTATTTACCTCACCCCACTTCCTCATTAACCTTTCCTATAAAATTCTGCTACTACTTCTTCCTTCCTTATATAACCAAATAACAGTGAGGATAAACAAGTGTCATCTTCCTATGACCACACTGGTTCACTAAGGTGTTCTTAGAGCATGAAGATAACATCGTTGCTTCTACATTCATCTAAAGATACTGGAGCAATATTAGTGACTGGTCTTCATTAGATACTGCCATAAACAGAAGACTGTGGTTTATCAACTGCAATAGCTTCTCAGCTAAGCTTCCTTACTCTGAGTGGAGAAGAGTTTTCCAGGCAGTACACATTAAACTGGTTTTAAGTATTTGACAA